AAAAATTCTTCTTAGGCCAACCCGGCTTGTTGAAAAATGGTTTTCAGGGAACGACGGAAGCATTGAGGTCCTGGATTCTTCTTATCTCCGCAACTGATTCCAGAGGGTAGGAGCCCCCACAGAGAAGGCCTCCCCCTGCCACCAGCCTACATTGTTTGGCTGATGGCACCAGGAGGCCCTCTCTGTGGGAGCGCACGGGTCGGTGGGAGGTCGTCGGTAGCAGCAGTCGGAGATACTAGGCCCTATGCCATGGAGCGCTTTAAAGGTGATAACCAACACCTTGAAGCGCAAAGACCACCGAGCCAGTGCAGCTCGCGCAGGAGCGGTGTTACATGGGAGCGCCATGTTGCTCCTCACTACCCGCGCTGCTGCATTCTGGACCAGCTGGAGCCTCCGGGTGCTCTTCAAGCCCCATGTAGAGAGCGTTGCAGTAGTCAAGGCAAAGATGAGTGACTGTGCACAAAATCCCGATCAAGAAAGGGCCGCAACTGGCGAATCAGGCGAACCTGATAAAAGGTCCCCTGGTAACAGCCGTCAATGTTCCTCCAAAGACAGCTGCCTATCCAGGAGGACTCCCAGATTGCGAGCCCTTTCAGTGGGGGCCAAAGACTCGCCCCCAATAGTCATGATGGAGTCAACTGACTATATCGGGATGCCGGGAGCCACAGCCACTCAGTCTTAAGGGTTGAGCCTGAGCCTGTTCCTCCCCATCCAGATCCGCACAGCCTCCAGGCACTGGACATCATTCATTCATATAATCATTCATATCCTCACAGCACACGTATACTCTTTGCCCAACATTGGAAATCTGAACAGTTACCTACAGAAGACAAAATAATAGCTAAAATTACAGAATGCGCAGAATTGGATAAGCTTACAAAAGAAATACAAAGAAAGATGATACTGATTACTATTTAGTATGGCAAAGATGGAGGCAAAAATAGGAATACAAAGATAATTTATGACTAATCAATAGAAATGTATAGTAGTAAATAAGGAATCAATTATATATATATATATATAACCATGTAAACAGATGATTATAGACATTGACATAAATAGAAAATGGAAAATACCCCACCGTTATAGTAACTTCTAAGAGTCAATCATTGGACTGAATCGATTTTGTTAGTTTTGTATGTCATTTTATGTATTTATGTGGTTTTGTTTTTTCTTTTTATTATTAATAAAAATTTATTAAAAAAAAATAAAAAATAAACATGTGGCCGCACTAAGTCTCCCCAAAATCCTGTCCACATCATCGGGAGTCACAGCATCAAACTCTTCCCAGATAACATTCTCAAGACTGTTCCTCGTCACCCGGCCCTGATCTACCCAGTCAGAGTCCAGATCCCCCCGGATCTGAGCGATTTTGTCATACAGATATTGTCCGAAATCCTCCCCCTGCCTTCTAAGGGATCCTCCCGCACTCCCAGATGGAGCAGGGCGCGGGTTACCCTAAAACAGGGCGGCCGGACGATTCCCTGATGACGCAATAGAGGCGGAAAAGTAGTTAGACTTTGCCGTCTTTATCGCCACTAGGTAGGCCGTAATATGCGACCTTACCAGTGTTCGATCAGATTCAGCGAGACTGGCCCTCCAACCGCTCTCCAGGCGTCTTTTCCGGCGCTTCATTCCCTCAGCTCCTCAGTGAACCAAGGAGCCACACGGGATCAGCATCGGGTCAGAGGCCGCAAAGGCACAACTCGGTCCAAGGCCCCACCAGCCGCCCGATCCCAGGCGGCTACCAGGTCCTCGGCCGAGTCATGTGCTAGATCCTCAGGAAATGGCCCAAGCTCCGTCTGGAACCTATCAGGATCCATCAGGCGCCTGGGGCGGATCCATCTAATTGGGTCCGCCTCCCTGCGGCGAGGGGTCGCGGTTTGAAGATCTAGGTGAAGGAGTGAGTGGTCAGTCCATGACAAGGGTTCCATGTCTATATCCCCTATAACAAGATCACTCAACCACTGGCCAGAGACAAAAATCAAATCCAGAGTGTGACCTCCCCTGTGAGTAGGGCCATGAACTAACTGGGTCAGGTCCATGGCCGTCATGGAAGCCATGAACTCCCGAGCCACCTCGGACGTTTCACACCAACGGATGGCAAGTTGAAATCACCCATGACTAAAAGCCTGGGTGTATCCACTGCCACCGTGGCTATCACGTCGAGTAGCTCAGGTAGGGCTGTTGCCACGCGGCAGGGAGCCAGGTACGTAAGCAACAAGCCCATCTGAACCCCACGGCCCCACCTCACAAGGAGGGACTCACATCCAGCTATCTGAGGCACAGTGGTCTCCCTCAGACCCAGATCCTCGTTAATAATAACCGCCACCCCCCCTCCCCTCCCCTGGGCCATCGGCTGATGGAATGCTCTGAAGCCTGGTGGGCACATTTCAACCAGAGGGACGCCACCCTCCGGGCCCAACCAGGTCTCCGTAATACCCGCCAGGTCCGCTCCTCCCTCTTGTATAAGATCGTGAATGAGGGGGCCTTATTGACCACGGACCTGGCATTGCACAGCATCAGCCGAAGGCCCAGCTCCTGAGTATCTAAGCCACCTAGTATCCGAGCAGAGCCTTGGGGACCGGGCAAGCAATTGCTCTCAGACAGCAAGTGCGAGCCCCCAGCACCTGTTGTGGTCCCCTGCTCCCGCCATATCTGCCCCTCCCATTCACCGTGCCGATGGTACAGCCCTCATAGATATCGTCCCCCATCCCTTTCCCAGTCCCTCGTCCAGTGCCCCCCAGATCGTTACCCTGTGCCGGGCACGGCTCTGACCCTGGTGGATTTCCCCCCCATCCACCATAGTCGTCTTCCCAGTATCTTTAAAAGAATAATTACAATCCTCCCCCAGAACCCCTTAAAATCTTTAAAAATTTCCCTAAAAAGCCCCATAAATTCTTCCTTGCTCCATGCCATCTCTCCGGACTCCAAAGTCCGTCATCGAGATAGGCCCTCGATAATGTGGGGGGCCAAACCTGCGAGAGGGGAGAATCTCGCAGGACAAGGAGTTCCGACACTGAATACATATAGCCATCAGGGCAAACAGTCCAAGGGTGGGGGACCGCTGATGTTATAAGCGTAGGGAAAATTCCAGTCCATGGTCAGGCTGCCAAGCTCCACTGTCCTCTCACGACAGTGGCTAAGGAGGTGCATATCATTCGACCCCAAAGTTTCCAGGGCGGCCGTCTCTCACCAGGCCAATCCATGGAGACTTTGATAGAAAGCTCAAGGGTGAGGATAGCCATATTCCGCCTCCTCAGGCCTCATGTCCATAGAACCAGTATCCCTCCTGGGATTAGCAGCATCAGGAAATCCAATATCCAGCTCAAAGGAGGTTTAAGTTCGTAAATGTTCATCAAAGAAGTTCTACATGATAGGGAATCCAGACAGGCCAGATGGAAGTGGGGAAAAATTAGGAGTAGTTCAGCAGGCCAAGATGGATGGGAAGCTATGATCGTAATAGGCCAATAGGCCAAAACTCAGTCCGAAGGAAGGAGGAGGGGGGGATTCAAACCGCATAAGTTTGTAGTCATTTTCCGGCCCCAATAACCCTCAGCCTTCCATTCTGGTGGGTGAAGCTCCCCTATTTTGTCCCCCCCCATCCAGCTCACCCTGGGGGGGGTTCTCTGGGTCTCCCTGGAGGTAACCCTTCCCTCAAGGGTCGTATACTCTCCAGTCACCCCAAAATCAGATCTAAAACCACTGCTGAAAAGTCCTGGGCCGTCTGTTTGAAAGTCTGTAGGCCCTTGGGAGCCGCCCCAACCTTAGGCGCCCCCGTCACGACCATCGCCGCGCGCCTCCGCAGTCCCCACCACCATCGTTGCCATCGGCCCCCCCCACGGACGTCCCCAGCCGCCCCCTGCCTCCAAAGATCCACCTTGAGGCATCCAGGGGCATGGGGAACCTCCGTAGGGGCCTCACAACGCCGATGTTGTCCAGGCCGCCGCCGCCGCCATGACGCCCGCGACCGCCGCCGCCGGTGCCGCTCCCTGCAGGCCGCAGACCGCCATCACCCACCGCCGTCCTGACGTCATCCCCCTCAGCGCTGGGATGGTCCGGGGAGCTGACAAAACTCCCAACGGGCTCCTCAGATGTTGCTTCGCCTGGGCGGGGGGTCATAGATGTTCGAAATGACCCCCCTGAGCCCCCCCAAGCCGAGGCATCGCCCCCAAGAAGCCGAGACTCAGCGTCGGAGCGCCATCTTGGGCATGCGCAGAAGATAATCTGCGAAGATAATTATGAGAAAATCTGTCACATTAGCAGTTTCTAGATTTAGTTAGGATACCAGTTTCTGGGTTTCTCATATCTGCGAGATGATTTTCAGATTGGTGACTGTATAGAATGGATGAATGAATGAATGGATGGATGGATGAAGAAAACTGGTATTTGGCCTTCCTTATATTTCATTTTTTTAACAAAAAAGTAGCAAAGTGTCTTAAATTTCTTCATTTAATGTTAAGTCATTGGATTTTTCTGATCCTATTAAACCACATAAAATCCCAAATACAATTCAGGATCTTTGTTAGGTTAGACTGAAGAAAATCCTATACACACTGAACCTAATGACGACTCCACATTTCAGTTATTCCCCCCCCCCTTTTTAAAAAAAAATTGATTTATATGCCGCCCTTCTCCAGAGACTCAGGGCGGCTTACAATGCGTTAAGCAATAGCCTTCATACTTTTAGATATTTATACAAAGTCAGCTTATTGCCCCCACAAACTGGGTCCTCATTTAACCTACCTTAGAAAGGATGGAAGGCTGAGTCAACCTTGAGCCTGGTAAGATTCGAACCTGCAGTAATTGCAGGCAGCTGTGTTAATAACAGTTCTTTAAACCACTGTACTACCAAGGCTCCTGAGGAGGACATGGATTTAGTACAGAATCACCAAGCCTAATCTCAGCTCCCATTACACATTCCCATTTTAACTATAGGTATACAGAGAATGAATCACCTATTTTGATCCTCCAGGAGACTTCTCTACATTTATCTGCTGATGCCACTTCATGTGCAGAAAGGTGACACAAGACTGTTCATTGATTTATTATAATTCCTATGTTACTGCTATCTATTTCTCTCTCTTTATAGGACTGGTTGGAAAAGAAGAGAATCTTCCTTTTGGAATTACAAAGAATAAAAAGAAACAAAGCTGAGAACTTGCGAGAGAAAAATGAGAAGGTTGGTTTTAAAACCTTAACCATAAGTTTTATTAAGACGTTACATATGTGGTCCAGTTATGTCCTGTTTCTTCTGACTTCTTGCAAATGATGTTGGCCTTATAGACTGGCATGTATTCAGCATAACTGTAATAGTAAAAATTCAATGTTAAATATAATTATGATAAATCAAGAAGCAAACACAGAGGATTGTATATAAGTTTATATTATTATACACAGAATAACAAACATGAGTGTCAGCTCTAAACATATAAACACACAGGATGTTGATCATGTTTTTGTTTTAAAATAATTATTGATTTTATATGTTTATATATTGGTTTTTAACTTTTTTATTGGATTTTTAAAAATCTGTTGTAACTGCCTATATTTGCTTAGAGGAAATGGGAAACCATATAGATCTTCTTACTTCTCCTTCTCTTCCCCCCCCATCCGCTCTTCCTTTAAAAAAAAAACCCAAAATATAAAAATGACCACTTGATGATCAGTATAAGAGAAGGGATATGCCAGTCAAACATTTTCACATTCAGCTTTAGGTTCCATAAAGACCTTAGTAATCTGCCCTATGTTTTTCTCTTAATCGCACAATAAAAGGCAGTATAGGACACAGTATTCAGTGTCCTCTAGCTACTTACTATCAAAGAGTAAAATGCTGCTTCAAGAGTAGCTTAGAGTATATACTTTCAAGGAATAATCAGAGCATGGTTTGTAAAACTTGTTGAATGCTTTATGTGATGATGCTAGTAAGATTGAACAAGTACTGCAAAAATGCTTTCTTAACAACAATTACTATCATCACATACAGGAACTAATCACCAATCTTTTAACTAGCTCAGGATTTAAACTAGATGGATTAACACTGTAATATACTTACACAATATGTGATGGCACAATTGCTATCTCTCAGTAATGAGAAAAATATTTAAAAAAATGGTCAACAGGGAAGCTGGCAATTTTTTTAAAAAAGTATTTTTTAGCAATGTTAGCTGGGCTTTGACAGAAATTGTAAATGCAACTATGTGCCCATTAGATTCCATATGATAATTAAGTGTTTTCAGCTGATCTCACACATGATTAATGTCTACAGGACTTCATAATGCTCATATGCTTTATAAATTGCCATAACTATTTTTACACATGATCTTTAATGTCACAGGTTGAGAGTTCTACATTATTTTGTTCTCATAATCTTAATATATAATAAAGTACTTTTAATTTGTGAAGTGCATTAGAATAACTGACAGGAGATGGTGGTTTGGTAGACATGTGAAATAGTTAATTATTATAAATGGAATCTGAAGTAACTAGCACAATTGTGCAATATTTTGGATTCAGAAACAAAAAAGCGATTCAGCATATGCAAGAGTGCTCATGTGGTGCCTATCTGCTTTCCTTAAAGCAGCTGTACCTTATCCTGGAATCACATTGACACCTTTAGTGACTAATACACAATCCTGGCAAAATAGGTATTTGTTAAGGAGTTGCAGATAAGTGCTAATTTGTACCTCCATTGGTCTTAAAGCACATTTTGCGTCATGAAATAACGTTGCATTCATCCACATGAAATAATGTTGCATCCATCCAATGTGTTCATGTTAAAGAAGTAATTGAAGTCTTATTTCCTAAATCAAAACCTAAATCTCTATCCATTCAGTTGATTGCTCTAGACAAGCTCTACAGCAACCTTCCCTGCCCTCCTAATGTATTGGGCTGAAACATGGATGGTCTCCCAATCAGCCTTCAATATAGGCAATGCTGGCTAGAACAAGTGTGTTCTGAACAGAAAAATCACTATTGCATTTTTAAAGGTAGGTTTACTAAAGGTGATGGGAAAAAAAGAAAGGATTTAATAGAATATTTTCCCTGGATCCTGAAGCTTTTCTAATTAAGGACAATATTTGTAGTTCAGAGCCAAAATGAGGTACATCTGATGTTACCTAGTCTGAGTAATGAAATGTCTGCAAGAAAACAATCAAGCTCAAAAAGAGCACCAAGGACTCCTTACTTTTCTAATGTACAAATTTATATTTATGCTTGTATGGCTTTATGTTCTTGTATCCCTGCATAAAATATGAGATGAACAAAATAGCTTAGAAGTGAGTGTGGTGACTAAGACCAGTTTTCCAAAATAGCAGGAATTCTTCAAGAAAGAAAGAAGAAAGTAACAATTGTCTGTCTTATTAGATACTTTTATACTAATATCTACCAGTTCAGATAAATAGGTCAAAATTAGCAGCATCTGTGCTCTACTGTGCTGAATGTAGAGAGAGTTGAATGTTATGTGTTTTGAAGTAAAAAATAATCTTATGAAACCAGCAATTTAACATGCCTGCAAGATTATTACTTTATATGACCATAAAAAAAATAATGCAACATTTACAATGCTACTTTCCATATAGAAAGAAGTTGCTAAAAGAGAAGAAGCATTTGCATCCTTTGAAGCTTGGAAGGCTATGAAAGAAAAACAAGCAAAAAAATTGGCTGAGAAAAAAAAATTGGAAGCAGCAAAGAAAAAGAAAGAAGCTGAACTAAATGAGAAGAAAAAGGAAGAGTCACAAAAGGCAGTAGTTTTTATCTTACAAATGTTAAATTTGGTGAAAAAATCAATACATTGAACTGTATTGTCAGTGCTCTCCAAGTAGTCCTCGATTTATCACCACCCTCTTTGGAACTATTTAAAGTTATTATGGATGCCTGAAAAGCCACCTGGTTTCAAAGTTACTGCTGCTGCCCCTTGGTCATGTGAGCAAAATTCAGGCAAATTCACCTTTACAGCTAATTGCAGGGACACTGCAGCAGGCTTCTCATCTCTTCTCTAACCTGCTCTGCCAGGTTCCCACAGGCCTTAGGCCTTGCTTTCCCACCATGCTGACCTTGGCCCTGCTTCTTACCTCACTGGGTTCCACCTGTCACTAATTACTCGTTTACTTTCTGTAGCTCTCTGAAGCTAGTGTTAGAGAAGGAGAGACCACTCCATTCCTTGGCATTCCTAGGCTGCATGGATCTGTCCAGGAACCAAGCACCATTTTCAGAGCAGTTGCAATGAAAATGGTACTTGCTTCTGTCACTATGCCATGTGGCCTGCAGGGATGCTGAGGGGTGAAGTAGCCTGATTTCCTTCCTAACACAGCTTCAAAGATCTACAGAAAATAAATGAGGAATTAGTGATGGGAGTTGGACCCAGTGGGGTAAGAAGCAGGCCCAAGGCCAGCATGGCAGGAAAGACCAGGGGCAGGGAATGGACCATGAGGTGCCTTGGGGTGGGGGAGGCCTTGGCAGGTGGCCTGGGTTTATGCTAGATGTCCCAGAGCCTCCCCCCTTCCCTGAAGCACCCCATGTTCTACTTAATGACCTACTTAACAACTGCATTAGGGAGGGCAGGGATGGGGATTGTTAAGCAAGGCAACCATGTGGGTAAGACACCCACATAATGGGTTTAATGATCACCATAACTTATGGCAGGCACCATTATGGTGTTAATTTGAGAAATATCTTTAATTAATTTTAGATTTCATGGCAATTGTAAACTTCCTTTTTCTTTACTAATTAAAGTGGAAAAAATAAGAATTTCTGGATCAAATCTAATAGATTTGTTATTCATTTTTTAGGCTTTTGAGAAATGGAAAAAAAAGAAAGCTGCATATTTAAAACAGCAAATGCATAAGGAGAAAAGAGTTGAAAGATTAAAAAAGAAGGAGGAGCAGGAGCTTGTTGCAGAGCCATCAGCGGGGACTCAGGAGACAGAATGAAAAATCGGGACTTTTTTAAAACCCTGCGGGACGCGGGACAAATTGCTCAAAAGCGGGACTGTCCCGCCAAAAGCGGGACGTCTGGTCACCTTAGGCTTTTTAGAAATACAATAGAAATACAATAGACTCACCAATTTCTCTGTCCCGGGAAGGATAGATGGCTGTTTCATTCCCTCTCTAATCCCTACCATTCAATGATCTTCTCTTTCTTAAAAGCACCTTTGAGGCAATGTGTCCAGTCAATGACAAAGACAAAAGAAAGGTCCTGAAAAAAAGTCCAGGGATGAACCTGCCTATTGCTTACCCTTGACTGGGAATCATTGCTCTGAGGCATAATTCTGCTGGCAGAATTCACCAAAATTGATGACCAAATATGGCTTTTTCAGGCTCATGCCTTGGTGTGCATATTTTCCAATGAGACAAACTGAGACAGGAAGATCATTTTATTACAATTTATCAGAATATTCAGACAAAAGGGATTCCTCATTCAAAGAGGGAACGCTGATTTTTAGCTTATGTCTCCTTTTATAGTTAACATAACAAAGAAATCTGAAAGAGGAAAGTTGATTGGATAGGATAATAGCATACATGTTTATTAAAATGAGGTCTGAAAGGGAATAAATTGTAAGGAGAAAAAAAAATAAATTGTAAGGAGAAAGGTTGTTTAGGGTTCACAAAAAAGATAAAGCAGACCCCAATTTGTACTAACAAACGTTTCTTATCAGGAGCTAGGCTCCAGTTTGTTTATCAGTTTAGGAATGTTAAAAACGAATAAATCTTGAACATCACTTTAAAAGAAATAATATAAATCAGATTAAAATACAAAATAACTATGTTAGCTAACAAATAACAAAACCCATGTTATTTGCCCCTCATTTATCATTATCATTTAACAGAATTATTTTTAAAAATGGAAAAATTCAGTTTCTGTGACATCTGAATAAGTAGGTCATTTTGAAAAGAGCCCAGAACTACAAAATCTCCTTACTGATTGGGCTGAGCTCTGCAGACTATTACTTCCTTCTTTCTTCTGGTGCATTTTTTTTTCACAACAGATTTTTATAGCAGCTAACTAAGATCAAATTTTCAAGTATTTTCAACATTTTCATAATGTATTTATTTTTTATTCACTGTATATTCCACCTTTTTATTGTTTCCACCTTATATGTGCTATGGTAGTCCATTGAGTAAGGAGAAACAAATTAGAGAAAAGCAAAAGGAATGTCTTCAGATTTTTTAATTTCTTGATTTAAAACCAGAGATCTGTCCAAAATTTGGAGTACCTTGTATTTTTCTCTAATGTACTGCAGCTTTATTTAGAGCCATGCCCTTACAATATATCTTACAACAACATATTTTCTTCCTTTCTGATTAAAATGTAAAATGGCATGGTTATTAAAAAGCAGGAGGGGAATTTGCTTTTCCCCGGGACATAATCTTTGGCCTTATCTATAACAGCATTGAAATCACCAGCAGGCAAATATATTCATATTCCATTTCTGCGAATTTGTTCTATAAATTCTCATAAAAGGTCCTTTGGTTACAGTTGGGGGCATAAATACAAACTAATAGACACTTCCGCTGAGCAATCTCCAATTCCAGCATTAATACTCTGCCTTCCTGATCAGCAAATACTTTCTTAGTCACCAAATGATGCTGCACATAAATCATCACTCCTCTTTTTTTTGATCAGCTAATGAAGTAAATTTTTTACCTAATCAGAATCAGGACCAAAGCTATTACAGATACTCAGGGATTATAAGAGAGTAGCAGGATTATTAATTAACGAGGAAAAAAAGAAAATATTAGTTAAGAACATGACACAGAGGCAGAGATGCCAGTTGGAGGGACTCCTGGGGATGCAGATAACTAATAAAATAAAATACTTGGGAATTTGGTTGACACCAAGGTGTTCTTTGGTAAAGGAGGATAATTATGTTCCCCTTTATAATCAGACAGTCAGAGATTTGGAGAGGTGGAAAAATTTACAACTATCACTTATGGGAAGGATAGCTGCCATCAAAATGTACGTCCTCCCCAAATGGTTGTTTTTGTTCCAAACTGCCCCGGTAAGTCTGGATAGGGAATTCTTCAACACCTTGAACAGAGTTATTTCTAAATTTATTTGGCAAGGTAAAAAATCAAGGATTAAGTTTAGGATGATGCAGGAACCTAGGCATAGAAGGGGATTTGGACTCCCAAATTGGGAGCTTTACCATCAGGCAGCCATTCTGATATGGGTGAAGGATTGGATCTCCCTGAAAAGGAGGCGGCTATTGACGGTAGAAGGCCACATGATTGGCATCACTTTTTATGGCCAGGACAGTCAACCCGACTGAGGTATTTTCAGAATCATTATTTACCTAAGACCCTAGGGGATACCTGGGAAAGACTTAGGAGAAAGTTGTATCTGAAGATACCATGTTGGATTTCGATCCAGGAGGCCCTGGTATACCCGACGTTATATAAAGGAGAGAAGATCTTTTTTTTTTTTTATTGTAAAAGTTTTACAATTACATTTTCACCCCATTTTCACCCCCCTAACCCACCCCAAACTCCCCAACCCACCCTCCCTACCCCCCCCTAACCCTCCCCTCCCCCCCGGACTTCCATAGAATATACCCCATCATTGTCCCCTTTATATAAAAAAAAACCTTGAACTTTAAACCCCCCCATCCCCCATATCATTTTTCATCTTCACATAGTTCAAATATTTCTATCTTAATGTAATATAATACTATCAATAAAAAGCTATTTGATACTTCCTAGTTTGATATTTGTTCTGCACATAATCTATCCATTTTTTCCATTTACATTCATAAGTCTCTTGTGAGCTGTCTTTTAAATATGCTGAAATCTTCGCCATCTCAGCGAAACTGGCCATCTTCAAAATCCATTCTTGAACGGTAGGCAAAGCTTCATTTTTCCAATATTTACCTATCAACAATCTCGCTGCTGTAATCATATACAAAATCAACTTTGTTTCATCCACTGTAAAACCCTTTGCTATACCCAATAGAAACAATTGTGGAGAAAATTGAATTTTTTTCTTCAAAACATTCTGCATGACCCACCAAATTTTTATCCAAAAAGCCTTAACTTTCTTACAGGTCCACCAAATATGATAATATGTAGCATCTGTACAATCACACCTCCAACATTTTGGCTGAACATTAGGGTACATACACGACAGTTTCTTAGGGTCTAGATGCCATCTATAAAACATTTTGTAAAAATTTTCCCTCAAATTCTGCGACTGTGTAAATTTAACATTCTGGACCCAAATTTTTTCCCATGTTTCCAACATCACTGGTTCTTCAAAATTTTGTGCCCACTTAATCATACAGTCTTTAACTAATTCAGTTTCTGAGTCCCTTTCTAGCAAAACATTATAAAGCCTTTTGATATGCATTGGACCTTTCTCTCTTATATGTCTAACCAATTCTTCCTCATGCAACATAATACCAGTTTTTTGGTCCTCTTTCCATCTCAATTGTAATTGATTATATTGTAACCAAGTTAAATTAATCCCTTCGTCCAACAGTGTCTGCAAAGTCTTCAGCTGCCATCTGCCCGCATCTGTAAAAAGAACCTCTTTGTATAAAAACCCCCCGAGTGACATTATATTTGTATTCCACAAAGTATGACCAAGATCCAGCCATAGCGGTATTTTATAATCCCATTTGAGTCGGTGCTTCTTCCAAACTCTCATCAAAGAG